CTTCCTCTATTCGATAGCGATTTTTGTGTCGATGTTGTGTATTTTTCTTCAAATTAGACGATCATTTAGTTTCTCTTTCATGATTTTTGTGTCGATGTTGTGTATTTTTCTTCAAATTAGACGATCATTTAGTTTCTCTTTCATCTGATCGATAAGATTGCGAATACGGATTCGGATGCGTTCTTGAAATTTCTAGAATCTACTTCGTTTAGTTTTGCTCCATAATTTTGCAGATTTTCTAAATTTCTTTTAATTTGGTTGTTTTTTTATTTTTTTCTTTTCTGATTCTTTCCTTCTCCTTTAAGATGTAGGTTTTGCTCTCTTCTAATTTTCTTTTCCTGAATCGAAGAGCGTGATTGGAGTTTCTAGCCTCGGATCCAAGTTTGAAAAGGTTGCACAAGGCCAAGAGGCTCATCAGCGATCCTAATGGTATATCTTCTCTCTATTTGGTAGTCTGACTTTTGCGTCGATGTTATGTTATTCCCCTTCAAATTAGAATTACAGAGTTTCTGCTTCATCTCCTTAATAAGATCAAATTTTGCAGGTTTTTCTCCTTCTGATTTCAGGATTTGGTCATGGTTTTGACTTTGCACGTTGTTCAGTTTGTAATCGTTCACTGAATGGTTTAGATTTCGGTTAAGATGATCCATGAAGTCATAGATATCACATTAATAATTAATCGCTGAAAATGATCATGAAAATTTAGATCTTTGTGAAAGTATAGAGGCTCTTTGGCTGAAAATATCTTAATTAATAATCAGTTTTTTGTATTGCCAGAGGATCCAGTTAGCTTAGCTGGTTTCCTGTTCATTGTTATTTTTTTGGTTTAGATGCTGGATACTTGTTTTACTTTTATCTGCTTAGAAACATTGTAGCTATTGTGCTTAAAGAATTTCTTGGAAATTTTCAGAATGATGTTTTACACTCAAGTGCTTTTCTAAAAATAATTAAAGCAATTTTGGCAATTTATATGTAGTCAGAAAATTCATACTGCTTGTATAGAGGTTCTACTTTATATCCTTACATCCATTCAAACTTGAAATGGTTTTGCTTTGTAATTAAGCATTTTTGTAGACGTTCATTGGTGTCATTTTACTTTATAGTCTTCTATAGTCTTTCCATTCTTTCATAAATTTTCAGGTCTTATGATTTATCGCAGAGTTATTATACTGAAGGCTTTGAGTTTTGCAACCTTGAGATTCCCTTAGATGTATTTAATTATTTAAATATCTGTGATGAATCAACACTATGTCAAGAGAAATTTTTTACTTGCATGCAGCTTTGGCGGCTTGGTTGGTTGAAGGTCTTGCTGATACTTCTCCTGGCCTGCAATATTTGGATAAATTCCTAGAGGTGAAGTTTACTAGATTTTTATTGTTAGCTTCGACTTAATGGCTCACCAAGGATGCAGATTAAGATTGTTTTGCTAGCTGATCTCTCGGGATACTTATGGCAAGGTTGTCGTTATTTCCGGAATGGATAGTCACCACCCCAATCATCTTCTTTTCTTTAATTTCTATCATTTTCTATTATGTGCATGAATTAAATAATAAGTGATATTTAGAGTAATGATGTTTATATGGTCAAACTAACTAATGATACTTTTTGATGTAATATCGTTCTCTGCGATGTAACTGGGAGGTCTTGTGATGGATCACACAAAGGTGTTCTCTAGCCCTTGTCCCCACAAATCTAAACTATGCATATCCTCTCCATCTTCACTCTCTCATTTTTACCACTCTCTCTCTCACAAACTCATTCCATCCTTAATATCCGCCCCATTGGTGCCTTCTACCCATCATCTCCGCTCCGCCTCTGCCTTCCTTTGTGCCCAGTGGGCCGCAATGAGGACCAGAGAGAGGAGACGACAGAGGAGGGGTCAGCAGAGGAAAAGTGGCAGTTGAGAAAAAGAAAGAAAACTAAAGATGGTTTTTGTTATTTTATTTTATTTTACCTTTATTTGGTTTTTGGTACCTTTGTTCATTAATCATTACCTTTCATTGATTAATGATATTTTTGTGACTTTTGTTTAATATTATATTATTCAATTCTTGTTACTTTTCTTTATTTGATAAATTTATTTTTCTCCATTACCTTTAATTGATGATATCTTTTTAGTGATTCTTATTATGTTTCTTTGTTTATTGATGCCTTTATTTTTTTTCCTTTCCCTTTGTTCAAATTTTTGTTTTGTTTATGAATACATTTATTTGTTTTTTGTTATTATTTCTTCATATTTTGTTACCTCTCATTGTTTTTATTAGTTTTCTCTTTTTTCTTGTTACCTTTACTTGTTTTTTGGCATGTTTACTTTATTGTTACGGTTATTGTTTTTCATTAACTTTTTTTATTTTTATTACCTTTCATTGTTTTTCGTTAGCTTTATTTAGTTAGTTATTACCTTTATTTTTTAGCATTTTGTTTATTTACGTTTTATCCTCTCTCTCTTTCTTCTCCTCCCTTAAGCTACCACCTCTCTTTCGTCACCATTAACCTCTTCTTTGTTGCTGCCAAACTCTTCTATGTTGCCTTGGAGGGTGGAGATCATTTTTCCAAAAGTTTTAGGAGCTGTTAATTTTATTTGAGCGCATATCGATTATACATCGAGATTTTCTCGATATGTCAATGCCATTTGGATGTTAAATAATCATTTGAAGTTCAAAGAATTAGGTCAACCTTTATTATCCCTCGTTGTCCCTCTCATGAATCCATTAATTCATTCCATCCTTAATTTTCGTGTTAACTCATTCTATCCTTAATTTTCGTGTTAACTCATTCTATCCTTGATTTTCGCTTCTTGTTGCCTTCCTTCGAGTCTTGTCAAAGTGGGTAGCTGGAGGCAGTAAAGATAAGGTCAATGGCGAGGCTAATGGTGGTAACAAATAAGAGGTGGACAATGAGTCATGAATGGAGGGGATGGAGGTAGTGGTTGAGAAAGAAGAGAAAAAGAAATTACTTTTTATTTAGTCATGGGAAACTGGAGGGGATGGAGGTAGTGGTTGAGAAAGAAGAGAAAAAGAAATTACTTTTTATTTAGTCATGGGAAACTGAGTGGAAAAATAGAAGAAGACATAATAAAAGTCTAAGGATAGTTTATGAATTTTCAAGTAACATGATTGTTCTCATGTACAGAGGTGATAGCTTCTCAAAGAGAGAAAACACATTTATTAAAAACCCAAGCGAGTGGAGGTAAATTTTCCAAAAAAATTTTGTGCATTGTTGACCGTCTTTGCACAATTATTGATGAGACATTTGGATTTTCTGCATAAATTGATAAAATCTCGATGTTAAAAAAATAAGTAAAAATAGTGTAATATTATGGATAAAAGTCAAAATTTGTTCTCTCTCTCATTAACCCCTGAACTTTTCCCCCTTAAAATTTGCCTCGCCTCCTCCCTCCATCTTTGTACCGCCTTTGCCTCCCCACAGGAGTGAGGCAGTAGCAAGGGCAAAAGGGAAGCGACTTATGAGAGGTTGGTGGCAAAGCCAACTTAAGGCAAAAACGGAGAGTTTCATGGTGAGGCGGCATGTGTTATGGTGAGGCGAGGGTGGAGAGTTGGTGGTTGGTTAAGGAGTATAAGAAAGAAGCTTATATTATCATTATTTTTGTTACATTTATTTGGTTTTGTCTTTGTCCATTTATCATATTTCTCATTTGTTAATAATGCAATTTTGTGATACTTGTTAATTTGTTAATTTTTTGTTACCTTTCTTTGCTTAGATACCTTTATTTTTTCGTTCCCTTTATCTAATGATAACTTGTCATGATTTTGATACCTTTATTTGTTTGTTGATACCTTTATTAAGTGGTGCCTTTTCGTGATTTTGTTATCTTTATTTGTTTATTGATATCTTTATATTTTGGTTACCTTATATATAATTCTTCTCATCTTTTTTGTATATTAACACATTTATTTGTTTTTTGTTACCTTTGTTCATTTTATGTTACATTTTCATTATTTTTTGTTAGCTTTGCTTGTTTTTTGTTACCTTTACTTATTTTTCATTATATTTGTTCATATTTTTTTACATTTATATGTTTTTGCTACATTTGTTTGGTTGTTTTCACCTTTTATTATTTTTCGTCTTTTATTATTTTTTGTTAATTTTGCTTGTTTCTTGTTACCTTATTCGTTTACTGTGGATTTTGTTCATTTTATTATCTCGTTTTCATTTATTAACAAGTATATGTGGTTTTTGTTACCTTTGTACATTCTTGTTATCTTTTCATTATTTTTTGTTAGCTTTGCTTGTTTCTTGGTTCCTTTAATCAGTGTTTTAATTACATTTGTATCATTTCTTGTTACTTTTATATGGTTTTCGTTACCTTTATTAGTTTGTTGTTACCTTTAATTGTTCTTCGTTAACTTTGTTTGTTTGTTGTTACCTTTCATTTGTTCTTCATAACTTTGTTGGTTTTTCGTTACCTTTATTTTTTCATGGTTTTTGTTCATTTTATTACTTTTTTTTCTTTATTAACACATTTATGGTGTCTGTTGTTACCTTTTTTGATTTCTTGTTATGTTTTATTATTTTCGTCAGCTTTACTTGTTTCTTGTTACATTTACTTGTTTTTTTCATTACACTTGTTCATTTCTTGTCAAGTTTTTTTGCTAGCTAACATTGATTGTTTCTTGCTACCTTCATTATAATATTTGTTCATTTACTTGTTTCTTGTTTCACTTGTTCCTTGTTGCATTTACTTGTGACATTTGTTCCTTTTATCTATGAAGCACGGACACGGACACGGCGACACGGACACGACACGGACACGGACACGGATACGGCAAAACCTCAAAAAATAGGATACGGCGACACGGCTAGATTTTTTAATTTTCACTACTTTCATCTTGAGCATATAAAAATACAAGAGAATAAAGTTCAAGTTGCAACTAGTTCAATGACTACAAAATACTAAGTTACTAACATTGCAAAAATATAAAAATTACACTCAAAAGCATATCTTAAAATAAAGTTTTCAAGTTGAAACATCAAAAAGATTATTCTATGGATTCAACTCTTTCATCCTCATCAAACACAATGGCCTCCATCGTGGGCTCGTCAAGAGAAAGGGCAGCAACATCTAACATGCCGGCTCCTTGAAATGAGTCGAAGGCATCTCCACCAGTATCCCACATTCTTGATTCCCCTTCCATATACTCTTCCGAATTCCGAGAAAGTAAACGAAGGTTGGTGTGAACATAAACAAGATCCTCTGCCCGTGTCGGGGTTAGCTTGTTCCTCTTTAAGGAGTGAATGAAACCATACGTACTCCAATTCCGTTCACAACAAGAAGAGGAACAAGGTTGGCCTAGAAGCTTTATGGCCAATGCTTGCAAATTTGGAGCACTTGCACCATAAAGAAGCCACCATGACTTTGGATCCATATGTCCTCTATCGGAAAGAGAATCCGGATCACCAAAAGCCTCCAAAGACCCCACAAACTTAGCATATTCCAAGTTCACCACCAATCGTTCATCGGGGTTAGGATAATATCTTCTTAAGCACTTTGATCTTTCTGTAGAGATCTCAAGATCTTGATTTGGAGGTTGCCGATTGACGTTCTCATTGAGCCATGTGGAATGATAGTACCTATGTTTCGTTAATAACATGAATTAGCCCACAAGGTATTAAGTAATAGAAATATTCGCATTAAAGAGTGAAATGTGAAATATTACCTTGGAACTAAAGAGTGTGCCAAGCACTGAAGCGGGGTGTTGCCCTTGTTCCATCGATCCACCAAGATCTTGTGAACCACCTCATAAAAAGGAGATTCCTCGTTATCCCTTTTACCCTCATGCCTGTAAATAGCTTGCTTCACCTTCTCAATCATTGTATCCCACATATCATACACCAAATGAAGACATGGTGTATCGGTGTCGGTGACCCTTATCATTTCATAGATTGGGCCGGTGAAGTCAAGAATAAAATCTATCTTGTCCCACCACAAATCATCGAGGACTTTCTCTTTCACAAATTGAGCTTTCTCCACATCATCGTCTCTATATAAGCTCCATCGATCACTAAGGACCATGTCTTGGAGGCCTCTCTTGACGACCTTAAACCTCTTCAACATAATAATCCACGAGGCAAATCTTGTGTCGGCAATTGATAGGAGCTTCATCTTGGAAAAATCATTGAATATGGAAAGCCGCATAGAGTGGTTCATGATAAAATTCTTCATAAACAATGCATCATCGGAGATCTCTGTAATCCAATGTAATTGTGCATAAGCCACGGCATTTGCTTCCGTGTTCTTAGCCGCACAAATATTCTTGACAGCAAGATTGAGTGTATGGACTACACAAGGAGTCCAAAATATGTGAGGCCAAGTTTGCTCCACAAGCCCTCCCGCGGCCTTGCATGCCGAAGCATTATCGGTTATGATTTGGATGACATTTTTCGGTCCCACCTCTGTGATGCACTTTTCTAGCTGTGTTTGGATAAAATACTTATTCTTGACTTCTCCCTCGGCATTCACGGCATTCAAGAACATTGGCTTACCCTCACATACCGCCATAAAATTGATGATGGGCCTCCTTTGTGCATCCGCCCACCCATCACTACAAATGGAGACTCCCTTCTGTTGCCATGTACCCCTGATGGGCTCCATCAATCTCTCTACGTGAGTTTTCTCACGTTGTAAGATAGTGGTCCTCATGGAATTGTAACCAGGAGGCTTGTAGCCAGAAATTGGATTGTTTGCGGCATATGCAAAAGCTTTGGCATAATATGGATTCCTTGTCAAGTTGAAGGACAATCCCCCCGTGAAGAACATCCTACCAATCAATGCATCCAATTCCTCCCTTGCTCCCATGTTGAATGCTTGTTCCACGGTATTAGGCCCCCTCCTCCTCTTAAATCCACCTGCATCAATCGGCATGCTTGCACTTGCACCTACACCGGCCGTACTTGCAGTCGAAGATGTAGGCAAAACTGACATCTTAGGCCTAGAAGCCATCAACCTCGCCTCTGCTTGATCCAACGTCCTTTGAAACTCCCTTAAATTTTCGGGTGTTGACTTGGAACACATCTTAATTCCAGTCCCACTTATTCTCAAGAGATGATTTTTAACTCTTGAGTGTGAACCAGTAAAATCCTCTCTGCAATAATTACATCTCCATCTCCAATTTCCTCCTGCCGTTCCCCCTCTTTTCTCTAATTTGGTAACATATTTCCAAAGCGGACATTTGTCATCTTGTATTCCACTACCACTAGAACTCCCGTCTTGTTCCATTTCTGTAAAATATAAGCAATAACAATAAATTAAGAAATTAATAATAGTAGAACAGCAAACAATAGCTAAGCAAACAATGGCTAAACAACCCTAATTAACATCTAAATTAGCATACAATAGTGGAACAACTAACCAAACAACAGCTAAGCAATCCTAATTAACATTTAAATGAGCATATAACAGTAGAATAGTAGGCAAATAACAGTTAACATTAAAAAACCATACAGCAGCAGTAAAACAGTATAAAAAAGAATAATTAATAACAGTTAAGGCGGTAATAAAGCAGCAAAATAGTAAATAAACAGAGATTATCATCCCAATTACCCAATAGCAGCAGAACAGAAAATTTAAAATAGGGTTTAACCCAATTAAATGAGAAAATCAAGGTAGTGGGGCATCCAGCAGGAAATGAGAAAACAAATCAATACATAGCTACTCTTTTAAAATAGGAGAACAACAAATCAAACAGTCCCAAACAGTGAGGCATCCAGCAGGAAATGAGAAAACAGTAAACAGTAATCAGATTTTTTTAAAATAAAAATCAAGGTAGTGGGGGACAGAGGTCAGTTGTTACTCTTTTAAAATAAAAACGTAGTGGGGGGGGGAACAGGCCCTTTGAAACCCGTGCGTGTGTGATTTATTCGTGAGAGAGAGGGAGAACAGCGGATGTTGGGGTGATGTGGCGTTCGTGGGGGGTTTTTCGGGAAAGTTAGCGGGTTTTTTTATGGTGAGAGTGTGAAAGAGATAAATGAGGGAGAGAAAGAGACAAGAAAGAGAGAGAACCAGAGGGAAAGGGATGAGCGAGAGCGAGAGCGGAGTCCGAGAGAGAGAGAGAGAGGGGGGGGAGAGAGAGAGAGGGACTGACCTTGGAGCTGAAGACGACGACGACGAAGCTGACGACGACGACGAGGAGGAGGAGGAGGAGACTGAGAGCTGGCGGCGCCTCTTCACTTCGCAAGAGCCCTTTCGACTTCAATCGGGTAAGTTTTCTCACGACTAGGGTTAGGGTTTGGGTTTCTGTTTGAAATTGGGTTTCGGGTTTGGGTTTCGGGTTTGGGTTTCAAAGTCTGGTTTCGCCGTGTCGCCCTTAACTTCGCCGTGTCGCCCTCAACTTCGCCGTGTCGACTAGCGCTGACCGTGTCGACGCCGTTGACGCCGTGTCCGACGCGTGTCGAACGCGTGTCGAACGCGCGTCCGTCCCCGACAAGCGTCGGACACGGGGACGGGGGATTTTTTCACGAGTCGGTGCTTCTTAGCCTTTTATTACCTTTTTCCTCCACTTTCTTCTCCCCCCACACACTTTTCTTACGAAGACACTAACCTTTTTTCTATCATCGTTGAACTCTCATGTTTCACCTCTCCTTGCCTTGTGCCGCCACCTTTTTTCTTTGTCTCTGCCTCCCTTTGGAACTCATCATCGCCCTGTTCCGATGATGTCTAGGATTCCACGACAAATGAAGGATGGAGGAGGGAAGATGTGTGGATGCGGTGGGAGGTGGAGATTTATTTCCAATTCACGTGAAAGATGAGTGAACAAAGAGAAAAAGCAAGCAAAAGATGAGGTTAGTCAAGTGATTTTCAAAAGAACATTCACGTATTCATGCAAGGGGTACAAAAGTTTCTTGGAAAACATGTTTTTTAAACCAAGTGGGTTGAGGAAATTTTCCTAAAACTTTTTTAGTTGTTTATCATCTGTGCGCAAATATTGATGATACAATGTGATTTTCTCGATTTACCGACATTACCTCAATGTTTAAAATAAGTTGAAATTGTGTCATATCGAGGATTAAAATAAAATTTATTTTTACTTTCATTAACCCAAGAACTCATTCCACTATTAATTTTTGCTACCTGTCACCTTCTTCCACCTTCTTGCGGCCTCTACCTCCCCACTGAAGTGAGGGCATAAGAAAGGCTCTTAGAAGCAGTCAAGGAGAGCTTGATGGCAAACATAACATGCGGCGACATCAGAGAGTAACATGTTGGGCAGCGGGTGTTGACGAAGGAGAGTTGGTTGTTGAGAATGGAGTATAAGAAAAGGTGTATGTTATCTTTCTTTTTTTTTCTTACATTTATTTGGTTTGTTATCTTTGTTCATGTCTCATGCATTTCATTTGTTAATGATGTATTTTTCTAATATTTGTTATATTTGTTAATTTTTTGTTACCTTTCTTAATTTAGATGCCTTTATTTTTTTGTTACCTTTATTTAATAATGCATTTTCATGATTTTGTTACCTTGTTTCTTTTTGCCTTTTTTCATTGCCTTTATTTAACGATACATTTATACTTTCATTATGATACATTTCCGTGATACATTTATTTGTTTGTTGATACATTTATTTTTTTGTTACTTCTATTTAATGATACCTTTTTATGATTTTGTTATCTTTTACTGTTGATCGCTTTATATTTTCTTTATCTTTGTATAATGCTTATTATCTTTTTTGTTTATTAACATATTTTTTTTTGTAACCTTTGTTATTTTCTTGTTACCTTTCATTATTTTTTGTTAGCTTTGCTTATTTCTTGTTACATTTACTAGTTTTTGCCATTACATCTGTTCATTTCTTGTTACTTGGTATGTTTTTCC